GATTCAACTGACACTAGTGTGTCAATGACATTCTCATATGACACATTTATGCAAACAAAGAATGTAGTAATATATTAAGTGTGGCAGTAGAAGTTTCATAGCAATTTTGAGGGCTGGAATTTCAGATATCAATTCTAGTTTCTCAGAGGATAGAGGAGAGCAAGAAAGGATTCTGAAACCCAAGGGAACTGTGAAACTTGGCAGGGACCCTAGCCAAGGACTCTTGGGAATTCAGCTGTTCATTCAATTGACAAGAAGATCCTTGGTCACAAGAAAGTATAAGACATTTTTAGTATCAGAATTCAGGTCAATCAGTCATCTATCATTTATTGAGTATCCATATGTTCCAACGTTATGCTAACTACAGAGCACAGTAATAACAACTCACGGCTATTGTGGTCAAGAGCTAAAAGTCTAGTTAGGAAGAAAGTCATAAACAATGTCATAAAATTCTATCATGAGGATATGAAATAGAAATGGTTGGCAATAAGCAAAATATTCCAGACACACTGATGATGAGATGTGCCACAACACTGCAAATGTATATGGCTTTGTATTGTCAGCATGAAGTTGTGCTGAGCCATTAAAATACTTTCTGGCCTCCTTACATCTTCCCTAGATAAAGCAACTTTATTTTCTGGGCTGAACTGTGGTAATGGTAAATAAGTGAGGATAATGAATGACTGAATGAGTAAGTCATTGCAATATCCCTTCTCCAGGTTTTCTGAGTGCCTGACATGCAAGGAATAAGTGTTGTGTCTGGGTAATGTATTTGTTCCTGCTATATACCAACACATTTTTACAATACCAAAATTATTTATACAGGCCTGAAATTTATATTGTTTTGCTTGCTAGTGATCCTTCTTAAAAATTCTGCAGAGATTGACTATCGTCTAGACTGGACTCAATAATCCTCTTCCCTAGACCAAAGTCAGCAAGACGGTGGAATAGAAGATCTCCAGCATCACTTCAACAAAAGTACCACTAGAACTATTCAAAAACAAGCATACTACTCTGAATTCACAGTACCTGGGGAAAAAGTGGAGAAAGCCTATGGGCCACAGAATCAAGAGAAGCTGCAACTGGTAACAGGAATGGACACTTTAGACTGCACAATCCTCCCCCCAGGTTGGCATAATGTCACTCCACAGAGAATTTTATAGACTATGGCTTCTGAGGTGGCATGAGGAATTGGAGATGGACATTTGATCTATTTACCAGTCTGGAATTATCTGGGAAGAATTCCAGTCCCATTTTATGGAACCACTGGGAGTGCCAGGAGGACTGAACCACATGGCCTGAATTGGGGATGCTGATCACAGCAGCTGATGCACAGTTTGTTGGTGGCTGCTCTACGCTCTATTCAGTGGGGATGTCATGCCAAGGAGGCTGGCCAGTGGCATAGTGATGCAGAGGCAGGATTTGGGAAGGCCCAAATCCCTGGCAAGATTTCCAACAAAGGGCAGGTGATACCTTGGAGTTTTCCTAACCTACAAACAGCTAAAAGGTAAGCTATTAAGTTGCAGTGCTTGCTAAAGTCTTCCCCAGACTGGGCAACAATGGAAGGTCAGCTGATAGTTCCAGTGCAGTGTTTAGGTTCTATACTCACTATAAATCTTCTAGACCAGGAATAACATCAAGGCAGCTATTTACTTCCGGTGCAACATTTAAACTATCATGCTCACTATAAGTCTCCCCAGACTGAGAAATAATGGCAGGGCAGACTTCCAGTAGCTCAGGCTGCTCAAACTCCTCATCTCAAGTTATCATCTTACCTTGCCCCACAGAGTGATAGGATTGCATGCATGACCACTGTGCACAGCTTATAAATTGTTTTTTGAAAGTCTCATGGGAGCCACAAAGCAAGAACCTATAATAAATAAATAAAATAAGTAACATGGAATCAAACATACTACTAGAGAACATCATTTAACAGAAAAGAAGACAGTAAGAGGGAAAAAGGAATAACGGGTCTACAAAACAACTAGAAAAAAATAACAAAATGGCAGTAGTTATAGCTTACTTATCAATAGTAACCTTGAATATGGAACATTTTCCAAGAGATAGAGTGGCTGAATGGTTAAAAAACAAGACCCTAACTATATGCTATCTACAAGAAACTCACTTTACCTATAAATATAGAGAAAGCTTAAAGTAAGGGAATAGAAAAAGATATTCCCATGCAAATCAAAACATAAAAAAGAGTATAGCCATACTTACATAAAATAACATTAAGTAAAAATGGATACATAAAGACAAAGAGGAGAATTATATAATGATAAAGGAGTCAATACAGTGGGAAAATAATAATTGTACATATCTACGCAAACACTGGGCACCAAATATTAAAGCAAATATTAATAATCCCTAGGGGGATGGATTATAATACAATAATAGTGGGGGGACTTCAGCATCCCACTTTAAGCGATGGACAGATCATCCAGACAAAAATCACCCAAGAATATTGGAGTTAAACTGTACTCTAGACAAAGACCTAAGAAATATTTTACAAAATATCAATCCAACCAGCTTCCAGAATACACATTGTTGTCAATAGCAATACTACATTCTCCCGGATAGACCCTATGCCAGGTCACAAAGCACAAGCAGTTTACCAATTTTTAAAAATCAAATCATAAAGTATCTTTTCTGACCACAATTGACTAAACTAGAAGTCAAGTAAACAGGAGTGTTGGAAACCACAAAATTCATGAAATTAAGCAATATGCTCCTGAACAACAAGTGAGTCCATGAAGAAATTAAAAAAGACATGAAAAAATCCCTCGAGACAAATGTAAATGGAAACACATATACACAACCTATGTACTATAGCAAAAGCTATTCTAAGTGGGAGCGTTCATGCAATAAAGACATATATCAAACAAAAGTATAAGGACTCATGTAAATAACTAACATTACATCTTAAGGAACTAGAAACCAAGAAACAAACTAAACCTAAAATAGGTAAGAAGAAGAACAAAGACAAAGGGAATAAATAAAATGGAATTAAAATATAATACAAAAAACCAATAAAAGCTAGTTTTATGAAAAAGTACTAAACAAAATTGACAACATGTAAGTAAACTAAGAAAAAAGAAGATACTCAATAAATAAATAAAGAATAAAAAGAAACATTACAACTTATATCACAGAGTATTTAGTATAAAAGATCATAAGTGACTATTTAAACAACTACCATGTTCCCCCGAAAATAGACCTACCCATAAAAATAAGCCTAGCAGGATTTCTAAGCATTTGTGCAATATACCACTACCCCTCGAATATAAAACCTAGTGATGGGTGTGGCACACAGTGTATCTGTACAACCCATGCATTTCATCTGGGAGCAGTAAAGAAGACAAGCAGCCTTCTCATCTGCCCCATGAGAGCTCTAGTGCTTCGACAGGAGAGATTGGGGCCAATGGGTGCTAAAGGAATAGAGTCACAAGAAATTCAAGGATGGAATTCGGGGTTTGGGAGTTATGATGGATATTCTCAGAAGAAGACGACTTAACTATATTTAAAATAATGTAGATTTTTACATACTTAAACATACACACACACACACACACACACACACAATCCCTGAAAATAAGCCTAGGGTGTCTTCTTGAGGAAAAATAGAATATAAGACCTGTCTTATTTTGGGAGAAACAGAGTAACTAATAGCAGATTGGAAAATATGAAGGAAATGCATACATTCATGGACACATTCAACTTACCAGATTGAAACAGAAAGAAATACAAAATCTGAAGAGAACAATAACAAGTAGAATACTTAGCAGCATTAGGCTCCTCATAGAAGAAAAGCCAGGACCTGATGGCTTCATTGTTGAATGGTATGAACATTTAAAGAAGACCGATACCAACCTTTTCAACTCTTCCAAAGAATTAAAAGAGGAGAGAATACTTCCAAACTTATTCCTACATGGCAAGTATTAACTAATACCGAAAGACAAGGACACAACAAAAACCAATCACTCCTGATGAATATAGTACGTGCAAAATCTACACAAAAATCACTTTGCAAAACGAATCAAACAGCACAGGCAAAAGACATTCTCTGTGATCAATGGGATTCATCTAGTGATGAAGGATGCGGTTCACGGTACCTAATAACAAATCAAGTAAGCATGATACAGCATGTTAACAAGATTACGAACAAAACACATAATCATTTCAATAGCTGCAGAAGAAGCCATACTCTGCTAAAATCAATCCTGTTGCAATTAGGTGACGCAAGAAATAACTAGCTCACAATAAAGGCCAATGTGACAACCACCAGGCCAACCATCATCTTGAACAGAGAAAAGTTTAAAGCCTTCCCCTCCTAGTCTGCACAGATGATGGAACAGGGAGACAGACAAGGAAGTCACGTTCACCCAATCGGTTATTAACATGTCACTGTAAGCGCTGGCAGAGCAATGAGCCACGAGAAAGAGATAAGCATCCAAACTTGAAAAACAGAACATAATTGCCCTGTCTTGCTAAACAACACCAACTAACATGTGACAAATCCATTCACTAAGAGTTGTTATTGTTTTGTTTTTGTTTTGTTTTGTTTTGTTTCGTTTGTTTTTTTGAGACAGAGTCTCACTCTGTTGCCCGGGCTAGAGTGCCATAGCATCAGCCTAGCTCACAGCAACCTCAAACTCTTGGGCTCAAGCAATCCTCCTGCCTCAGCCTTCCAAGTAGCTGGGACTACAGGTATGTGCCACCACGCCCCGCTAATTTTTTCTATATATATTTGTAGTTGTCCAGCTCATTTCTTTCTATTTTCTTTTAGTAGAGATGGGGTCTAGCTCTTGCTCAGGCTGGTCTTGAACTCCTGAGCTCAGACGATCCTCCCACCTCGGCCTCCCAGAGTGCTAGGATTACAGGCGTGAGGCACCACGCCCGGCCATAGTTCACTAATAGTTTTGAAAATACAACATATACCCCAATGTATAAAAAAGAGACAATATGGGTTTGGTTTTAATTATTATTTCCTCATCTTCTAGGTCAACCCTGAGCTACGAGTAAGTCAGGTGGTGTCTCTGTCCTCGTCTCTCTCCCCTTATTTCCACACACCATTTTTGCGGCTGGAAGCTGAGACAACTGTCCTGTGAAGTGCTATTATCAATCTACACTGCAATGATTACTCTTTGTTATTATAGTCCATTTTCAGTTGTATTTTCCATTTGAGTTCATAGATATTTTGTTTATTACTCGCATACGTTTACTCTTGCATGCAATATTTCTAATTTCTGTTGCAAGGATCTGTGATGATGAAAAGTTTTAGGGTTTTCTAGTATGACTCACTTCATATGTGAGGGTGCTATGCTGGTAATCTTCCCTACTATGTTGAAGGGCATCTCACTTACTCCTGATCAGAATGTCTTCTCGAGTACTCAATGGAGAACACCATTTTGTTATACGATGCACTATCCCAGTGGTTGTTTTCTTGTCTCTGTACTACAGTGATTAACCAGCTACAGATGAAATCTTTTACTCTGTAATAAAACACTGTTTCACCATGTCTTTGCTTACTGTATATTGGTTCCATATATTCTCACTATTGAATGAAAAAAGCAAAGTAAAATTGAACTAGAACTTTCTATAAAATTCATCTGTGTACAAAAGATTATTGAGTTCAGTCATAAAAAAAAAAAACAGCAACATGGGTACAATATAGAGTTTTTTATGTTCTTTAAGAAATGCTGCTTGAACAAATTCATCATATATCTGACCTTGCGAAAAACGATATTCAAAATCAATAACGCATACGCATTAAAATATCAACTGATCAGTCATCTTCTTTTTATTCAAATGTAAGATATGCAATTATTTTACTTGTAAAATGCCTGAATAGTTTGAAACTGACTTTATAAAAAATAAAATAGGCCTTCAAACAAGAGAAAGTAAATTCAGAAATAAAAGTTGAGATCAGCTGGCATGATTTCCCAGAAAAGAATTATTGTATCTCTGTTCTTTCTTCACCCAATTGCCCACACCATTGCCCACAAAGCAATTGTGTAACCCAGAAAGCCAATAACAAATAAAAATTTAACCACAAGAGTTCATAGCTGAACTTCCCAGTTGAAAAGGAGTGATATTGAAGAAGCTGATTTTACAATGCTCTGTGAATGAGAGAACATACATTTTCCAAATACAGACACAGCAGTGTTGCCTGAAAATTCTGGCTGGACAGAACTGTGAGGATTAAATAAGATAACGCATACACAGTACATGTTCTGGGTTGAATTGTGTTCCTCCAAAATTCATATATTGATATCCTAACCTCAAAATGTGATCTTATTTGGAAATAAATTTGTTGCAGATGTAAGTACTTAAGATGAGGTTATACTGGAGTTGGTTAGCTCCTAATTAGCTCCTAATTCAATATGACTGGTGTCCCTCTAAAGGCAAATGAAGGCAGAGAGTGTCATCATCTTCTAGAAGCCAAGGAATGCCAAAGATTGTCAGCAAACTCTCAGATAGCTTCTGAGATAGCTTCTCAGATAGCTTCAGATAGTGACAAACATGGCACAGATTCTCCCTCACAGCTCTCAAAAGGAACCAACCATGCAACACCTTGATTTTGGACCTCTATTCTCCAGAACTGTGAGACAGCACATTTCTGTTGTTTAAGCCATTCAGTGTGTGGTACTTTGTTATACCAACCCTAGAAAACTGATGCAGCACCTAAAATTGACTGGTGCATAGTGGGGATTCAACTGACGCTAGTGTGTCAATGACATTCTCATATGAACACATTTATGCAAACAAAGAAATGTAGTAATATATTAAGTGTGGCAGTAGAAGTTTCATAGCAATTTTGAGGGCTGGAATTTCAGATATCTATTCTAGTTTCTCAGAGGATAGAGGAGAGCAAGAAAGGATTCTGAAACCCAAGGGAACTGTGAAACTTGGCAGGGACCCTAGCCAAGGACTCTTGGGAATTCAGCTGTTCATTCAATTGACAAGAAAGATCCTTGGTCACAAGAAAGTATAAGACATTTTTAGTATCAGAATTCAGGTCAATCAGTCATCTATCATTTATTGAGTATCCATATGTTCCAACGTTATGCTAACTACAGAAGCACAGTAATAAACAACTCACGGCTATTGTGGTCAAGAGCTAAAAGTCTAGTTAGGAGAAAGTCATAAACAATGTCATAAAATTCTATCATGAGGATATGAAATAGAAATGGTTGGCAATAAGCAAAATAATTCCAGACACACTGATGATCGAGATGTGGCACAACACTGCAAATGTATATGGCTTTGTATTGTCAGCATGAAGTTGTGCTGAGCCATTAAAATACTTTCTGGCCTCCTTACATCTTCCCTAGATAAAGCAACTTTATTTTCTGGGCTGAACTGTGGTAATGGTAAATAAGTGAGGATAATGAATGACTGAATGAGTAAGTCATTGCAATATCCCTTCTCCCAGGTTTTCTGAGTGCCTGACATGCAAGGAATAAGTGTTGTGTCTGGGTAATGTATTTGTTCCTGCTATATACCAACACATTTTTACAATACCAAAAATTATTTATACAGGCCTGAAATTTATATTGTTTTGCTTGCTAGTGATCCTTCTTAAAAATTCTGCAGAGATTGACTATCGTCTAGACTGGACTCAATAATCCTCTTCCCTAGACCAAAGTCAGCAAGACGGTGGAATAGAAGATCTCCCAGCATCACTTCCCCAACAAAAGTACCACTAGAAACTATTCAAAAACAAGCATACTACTCTGAATTCACCAGTACCTGGGGAAAAAGTGGAGAAAGCCTATGGGCCCACAGAATCAAGAGAAGCTGCAACTGGTAACAGGAATGGACACTTCAGACTGCACAATCCCCTCCCCCAGGTTGGCATAATGTCACTCACAGAGAATTTTATAGACCTATGGCTTCTGAGGTGGCACGAGGGAATTGGAGATGGACATTTGATCTATTCACCAGTCTGGGAATTATCCTGGGAAGCCAATTCCAGTCCCATTTTATGGGAACCACTGGGAGTGCCAGGAGGACTGAACCACATGGGCTGAATTGGGGATGCTGATCACAGCAGCTGATGCACAGTTTGTTGGTGGCGGCTCTACGCTCTATTCAGTGGGGATGTCATGCCAAGGAGGCTGGCCAGTGGCATAGTGATGCAGAGGGCAGGATTCTTGGGAAGGCCCAAATCCCTGGCAAGATTTCCAACAAAGGCCAGGTGATACCTTGGAGTTTTTCCTAACCTACAAACAGCTAAAAGGTAAGCTATTAAGTTGCAGTGCTTGCTAAAGTCTTCCCCAGACTGGGCAACAATGGAAGGTCAGTGAATAGTTCCAGTGCAGTGTTTAGGTTTCTATACTCACTATAAATCTTCCCTAGACCAGGAAATAACATCAAGGCAGCCATTTACTTCCGGTGCAACATTTAAACTATCATGCTCACTATAAGTCTCCCCCAGACTGAGAAATAATGGCAGGGCAGAACTTCCAGTAGCTCAGGCTGGTCTCAAACTCCTCATCTCAAGTTATCCTCTTACCTTGGCCTCACAGAGTGATAGGATTGCATGCATAAGCCACTGTGCACAGCTTATAAATTGTTTTTTTGAAAGTCTCATGGGAGTCACAAAGCAAGAACCTATAATAAATAAATAAAATAAGTAACATGGAATCAAAACATACTACTAGAGAACATCATTTAACCAGAAAAGAAGACAGTAAGAGGGAAAAAGGAATAACGGGTCTACAAAACAACTAGAAAAAAATAACAAAATGGCAGTAGTTAATGCTTACTTATCAATAGTAACCTTGAATATGGATTACATTTTCCAAGAGATAGAGTGGCTGAATGGTTAAAAAAACAAGACCTAACTATATGCTATCTACAAGAAACTCACTTTACCTATAAATATAGAGAAAAGCTTAAAGTAAGGGAATAGAAAAAGATATTCCATGCAAATCAAAACCATAAAAGAACAGTAGTAGCCATACTTACATAAAATAAACATTAAGTCAAAAATGGATAACATAAAGACAAAGGAGGAAATTATATAATGATAAAGGAGTCAATACGGCGGGAAAATATAATAATTGTACATATCTATGCACAACACTGGGACACCAAAATATATAAAGCAAATATTAATAGATCCCTAGGGGGGAATGGATTATAATACAATAATAGTGGGGGACTTCAGCATTCCACTTTTAGCGATGGACAGATCATCCAGACAAAAATCAACCAAGAAATATTGGAGTTAAACTGTACTCTAGACCAAATGGACCTAAGAAATATTTACAAAATATCACATCCAACAGCTGCAGAATACACATTGTTGTCAATAGCAAATACTACATTCTCCTGGATAGACCCTATGCCAGGTCATAAAGCAAAGCAAGTCTCACCAAATTTTTAAAAATCAAAATCATATAAAACATCTTTTCTGACCACAATTGACTAAAACTAGAAGTCAGTAACAGGAGTGTTGGAAACCACAAAAATTCATGGAAATTAAGCAATACGCTCCTGAACAAGTGAGTCCATGAAGAAATTAAAAAGACATGAAAAAAATCCCTCGAGACAAATGTAAATGGAAACACAATATACCACAACCTATGTATATAGCAAAAGCTATTCTAAGTGGGACGTTCATAGCAATAAAGACATATATCAAAAAAAGTATAAAGATCTCATGTAAATAACCTAACATTACATCTTAAGGAACTAGAAAACCAAGAACAAACTAAACCTAAAATAGGTAGAAGGAAAGAACAAAGACCAAAGGAGAAATAAATAAAATGGAAATTAAAAATATAATATAAAAATCAATAAAAAGCTAGTTTTATGAAAAGATAAACAAAATTGACAAACATGTAGATAAACTAAGAAAAAAGAGAGAATACTCAAATAAATAAAATAAGAGATAAAAAAGAAACATTACAACTTATTATCACAGAAGTATTTAGTATAAAAGATCATAAGTGACTATTATAAACAACTACCATGTTTCCCCGAAAATAAGACCTACCCATAAAATAAGCCCTAGCAGGATTTCTAAGCATTTGTGCAATATAAGCCCTACCCCGAATATAAAACCTAGTGATGGGTGTGGCTACACAGTGTATCTGTACAACCCATGCATTTCATCTGGGAGCAGTAAAGAAGAC